GATGTTGATATCTCCGTTTCTCCTGTGAATTGAAAGTCGAGCTTTATGGTCAAAGTAGGGTTGATATAGAACTATATTGCACAAGAGCGCGTGGCAAGAGCGCGTTCCTGTATCTTTAGACCTTTAGGAGATATCGAAGGTTAAATATGCTATCGATGAGGTTCGCTTATATCTTCCATTTATCTCAAGAGCACTTCTCGGGAACGAAAGGTTCCGTTCGAAAGGTTAGTCTGCGATAAAAAGTGTCTTGCGATCTGAGGCCGCTGTTGTTTAAAGTTAAATTGCAGCAGCAGCAGTATCGGTCAACCTTGAGACCGGCTGCTAACATCCATTTGTGACTTCTGCCGCGCCTTTGCGATTACCGATAAATTCAGTTTTCTTGATTGCTCGCGCAATTTCAAGTGGCGGCCATAATATATGGCGAGAATGCATGGCAATATATGGGAATAATATATGGTAATAATATACGGCAAAAATATATGGCAACAATATATGGCAACAATATATGGCAACAATATGTGGCAACAATATAAGGCAATAATATAGGACAATAATTCATGGAATATATTTTTCGTTACTAGAATCAATGCAAATTTGCGGCATGCACAATGTAATAATAAAAGTAATAATAAAGTAATAATAAAAGTTCTTTCTGCGAGCTTTGAGACAGACACTCACCAATAATGATATTGATGATGTCCTGTTGCATCCAACCAGATCCATCAATGTCCGCCCATGTCCGCTGCCGCTCTCCATGTCGCGCAACATCTATCTTGCAGCTCGTCCCACGGTGATCGCTACACTTTTATCACACTTCCACGACGCGGTCGATACGCGGTATTAGAACGGCGATATTTACATCAATTAACGAACGTTTTACTCGCCATCGGTGGAAACTTTTGACGCGCTGTGAAACGGACTCTATAAACTCGATCGGCGAGGAGTAAGAACCGTGTGAAAATTTATTGACTCGTCCAACGGATTTTTACGGTGCTTTTCGCGATTGCGTCTGAAAAGTCGCGAAAATGTGGGATTATCGATATCTACGAGTGAAATATTCGCGATGCGAATGCACGCGAGGAAAGATTAGACAATCAGAAACCGGTCCCCCTTAGGGAGCGCGAAGAGAAAGTGCAAAGTTTTCACGCATTATAACTCTGTCACGACGAAGCTTACGCGATACTTTGGCGAAATGAGAATTTAAGTTTTCTTTGTTAGCAACGCGAGTAAAAACGCGTATATTGACAACCGCGGTCGCGATATTCAAAGGCACGCGAGCGAGGATACCTCAAGCTCGGCGTGCGCTGGCGCAATTTCTGCGCGCATTATACGCTACTCGAGACAATAGGGATTGTGATGAATGGACAATATTGCCAAATAATTCTACAGCCTGTTTTGCAAATAAAAGAAAAGTAGCTAACGATATCGGCATTTAGGTATGAATATATTTTATACGGACAATTGAATATTGTCAAATAATTAAATCGTTAAGTAATTCTGCGGCCCGCTTGCAAAATAAAAATAAAGCAGCTGATGTCGGTGTCGCGTTTGTACATGTGAATATTCTCTTATTCAGATGACTGAACATCAAAAGAGAATCATTCAGTATTTTAAATCTTGTATGTAATGCAGGCTATCGATCAAGTAATCCCCTGATTGTTTCGAGCAATGTATTTTATTCAACGTCACAAATACACACATGCAAGTATTTATTTGCAATTCGCATTGACTCGAATGATATTTTTTAGTCCCACATCCGTCATGCAGAATTTTGTTTCTCTTTTCATTTTGACTCACCGAAACGACTTGCAGTCAAAGCCACGTTCCGCTTCCATTCTGTAACAAAAATTCACATTCGCTCATCAGATTTGACCAACGAGTGCGGGCGAGTAAAAAAGTAGTTTACCCTCTGCGATCGTAATTCAAGTCGGGCCGGAAATTATATCCCAGCTCTAGATCGCCAAGGGTCAAACAGAAGACTATAGTAAACTTGTAAACTTACCTTCAAGCCGACTCTGCTTGGCCCGAACCGAATCCTCCGGTGCGGCATCCGCATCCACCGGATTGTTATTGCTTTCCGCAACAACTGAAACAGAAAAATAATTTTCTCGGTTGATAACTTGCGGTAGAGAGAGAATATCTTTGATCGGGACGAATCGAAAATACGGATATATTTTGATACGGAATTTTTATCTTAATATTTTTGTTCCAACATTGAAAATTCAAATGGGACTTGAAGCTTTCAAGAGAGCTGATAAGGAACAAGTTACAAAGGCAAAGATCGTAAAGAGTTGAACACAGATGTGTAGGAAACTTGTAAACTTTACCTTCCGGCCGACCCTGCTCTGCCCGAACCGGATCCTCCGGTGCGGCATCCGCGTCCGCCGGACTTGCTTCCCGCAACGTCTGGAACAAAAATTTAGCGTTGGTAAGCCTTGGTTGGTAAGCTGCGGTAGAGAAAAAATGGTTGGTCGGGATGAGTGGAGAATATTCGCTACGATTTTTTTTCTTTATTGACATTTAATGTCTAGATAGGAGCTCTTGAAAGAGCTGACGAAAGAAAATGGCAATAAGAAGCGGAGACAACAGTTGTGTGCTCTCGAAAATATTCTTTTACGGATGGACATTTAAATTCAGATCCCGTAACAAGAGTAAACAAACTTGAAAGAAGCGCTGACCGGAAACAAAAAAGGTCGCAGTCTAAGAAGCGATATGACGTTGAATATTCTACACAAGACCAATATTCTCACACAGGAATTGGGAATGATTCAGAATGTTTGATTGAGAACATGATGAATTCGAGATCCACGTCCATGGACCGTTATCCGTCTCTGTCTGGATCAATATCTTTTGTATACAACAACGCAATAAATAGATAGACAGAGATTGACGAGAGTAATTGCAAATTCATAAAGTGATGATTACTAGTCGGATGATGACGGATTGTGAATGCCGAGCGCGGAATTCCGACTTCTTATTCCCGGAAAATTCGTCAAACGTACGCTCTCGTTATCGGAGACCTCCCGCGTAATAAATGGTTCCACATACCTGGAAACGTGACATATCGCTGCCGGCGTTCTGCTTCTCGACTGCTGAAGTCCTCCGGATTTCACTCGCTCATGCTTCTAATGCTGATACTCGCGATTCGACCGTGCAGTTAATGAATGAGATGCCGACGCGATGCCGATTGAGTATCTCGAGGACCGACGAGATATATTTCTTTTAATTACACGAGACGGAAATGACGAGAGCGTCGCGCACGGCTGCTGCTGATGGAATGAGGTCGAATACATGAGGTGCGCGAGTATTATAATACGAAGGGCAAAAAGTGTCGTCGCTCGCGAGCCGATCAACACAATCGGCGCGATGTAAACATTGCGGGCCTCGGCGGCGATTGAAGCAAGAGAGACTTGCCTTTGAGCGTCTCTTGTTTTCTCGAAGGTTTCGGAACGACGAGGGGAATGCGAGGAGGCCTTTCAACTGTACGCGACATTGATGCACTCTATTTATTGATTACTGAAAATAAAGAAAATTACTCTGTCGAAGCATCGGACATTTGTTAGCTTTATGTTAATTAAAGAGGAATGTATACGATTAGAAAATGTGTTAGCAACTAATTGTACAGAGTGTAAGTTGTTGTGACGCCGTTTTCAGAGAATAATTAAAGGTCATGGTAGCGTTAAAGAATGGAATTTCATCCTATGCGAATTTAGTCGCGCTCTTATTAAATATTAGTCCTGTATAAAATGTCGTATTTAAAAGTATTGTTTCGCATTCACGAGATTTTGTCGTGAATTCTGCTGTCGGATTGGATCGCGGGTGAATACTTTTTAATGCGACGGGGAATGGAACGTGAAAATCTTGTATGCCTCTGAATCCGAAAACGATTAGGAGAAGAAGTGAATATTTTTCAATACGAAAGTTCGCATTTAAAAATTATCGATTGCGATTGAATACAAGGCATATTTGAAACGAATTGAATCCTTGTTAATGCGAAGCATTCACTACTGCCATCTCGCATTTAGCGCGGTGAAATTTAATGGGAACTAATACTTTTTATTTTCCCTTTCTTCGGATCAGAAAGCAGAATTCAGACGTATTCAAAATGTCAATACTTTTTAATATGTTTCAGTTCGACATTTTATACAGGGAGATTATCCGCTGCGGACAATAACTCTTCTACTTTTCATTTAATATTCAATGATGATAAATAACATTTAATTGCATTCGTTTGGCTTTTTTTATTTCGAAAATAAGAAAATATATACCGGGGTGAGATTTTACCCATGACAACATTAACATGATTTTCTTTGATGCTTTTTTTAAAAGTTCAAATATTTCGTCAACTCGCGGGATATTTATAATCGGAGTCTCGTCACGTTAATTACGTGAATAACACGTGCTTCTCCGAGCGGATCGAATGCTCACCGACGGCCACTGTCAGTGCCACGAGCGAATGTCCGGAGCGGACGGGATGCTGAATTAAAAAACAAGACGAAATGAACGGGACGCGGACAACGATACATCATGCATCTCCATACATGTCAAATTGTTTATTATAGAAGAGACTTTGATACGGCAATATATATTCGAAGATTTAACATTTAATGTACTTTTATTTTTTCTGCTCCTCCCCCTCTCTCCCCCGCTCTTTTTAGACCACCGGGCATAGTCTGGCATAGGCTGGTATTCATAGTCAGGTCTTTTATTTAAGACCGTCTTAAGTTCACTTTCAGGAACTCTATAGCCAATGAAGTGCTTTGTACAGAGTTTGAAGATAAACTTAAGACGGTCTTAAATATAAGATCCAACTATGAATACCGGCCATAGAGATAGCAACTGTCATTGCAGCACGGACATAAACCGCCTGAAAGTGGATGTAGCATGGACTTCCACCATATGCAGATTTTACTACCGAGACCTGTAAGTGGATGTACTATCGTAGTTCCCCTCTCAAAATGGATGCAGATGGCGTCCTTTCCCCTGTGCGGAAAGTCGGTGTCGCAGAAAATGTCGTATTGGCCGCTCTCAGGTTACTCTCTGCTTCTGCAGACTTTTAGTATTCTGTCGATTCATTGATGTGTTGAACATAAATTCGAGATATCGAATGTTTATAACTGCATTTGTTCATTATAATATAAATGTTGGAATTATTTTTTTTTATCAAAATCTTGTATTTGTGATACATCGGCCATTGTATGAACAGTTAACGTTTAAGTCAATAAATTTATTTAAATATAAAATTAAGTACAAAATTTGTAGTGAATATCCTCGTATAATATAAAGACATAAAACACATTAAGTTTTGTTTCTAACATGATATATCATATTCAACCTCTTCCATATGTACAAAATGTCATTAGCAGATAGTTTTGCAAGTTGTTAACGTTACAGGTAATAATAAAGTAAGATTTAATTGTATTGCATAAACTTTTGTACCAATTGATTTATGAAGATGTAACATTATTTATTATTTATGCTCTTTGTGAAAAATTGGATTAAAAAGCTGTACATGTATCTTTTTATTTGAAAAATGGCATTTGCTAGTCGTTATTTTGTCTCCAGGAGATATATTAAATCCATATTAATATCTACAATGTCTACATTGTCAACGATGGATGAACGTATGTTAAAAGGAATACAGAAGGTGATACCTAGTTTGATAAATACCAAATACAAAGGCCAAGATGGTAGAATTGGAGTCTTTGGTGGCAGTATTGAATACACAGGAGCACCATATTTTGCGGCAATGAGTGCACTGAGGACCGGTGCTGATCTTGTTCATGTTTTCTGTGCAAAAGATGCCAGCATTCCTATTAAGTCATTTAGCCCAGAACCGATAGTTCATCCAATATTGGACCAGCATGATCCACTAAAATATATAATACCTTGGCTGGATCGTCTGCATATTATTTTAATTGGACCTGGGCTTGGCAGAGATGAAAAGACATTCAAAACAATTGTTGACTTAATATCAACCTGTCGTGACTTGAAAAAACCACTAGTTATCGATGCGGATGGGCTGTTCCTAATCTGTCAGAAGCCAGAAATCGTAAAAGACTACCCAGGACTCATCTTGACACCAAATGCAATGGAATTCAGCCGTTTAGCTAAAGCAGTTTTGGATAGGAACATTGCACCATCCCCTGTAGTCAAAGCTTCTGATGTGAAACATGTGGCAGAGACTTTTGGAAAAAATATAGTAATATTGCATAAGGGAGCAAAGGATGTAATTGTGGATGGTCACAAAGGTACTGAAACAATTTCCTGTGGATTGGCTGGCTCTGGGAGAAGATGCGGTGGACAGGGAGATCTCTTGGCTGGTTCCTTGGCCATTTTTTGGTGGTGGGCTATCTCTGCAGGAGCAAGCGAATGCGCTCTGTCACCTGCGATAGTGGCGTGTTATGCTGCATCTAGACTAATTCGAGAGTGCAATACGTCAGCATTTAAAATGAAGCAACGAGGAATGTTGGCATCGGACATGTTGGAGCAGATTCAACCAGTCTTTAACAAGATCTTTGAGACTCATAGTGCCAAGTAACACAAAAATGCATCGTGAACTTTTTCAGTTTTATTTATGTTGTTTGTATATGGCATTGTTTTCTTTGATGGAAAGGAATATATAATTATTTATATATGTAATTGTTTATATTATTAAAGAGAAACAGTTGGGAATAATTATATATAAAAATAGGATATCAATGATTATTATTGCGATTTTATTATGGGTTTTAGAACTTCTTCGTTCAGTGGAAGAGGTCGAATACGAGCTATTGTTTCGTGAAGCATGCACGCATCCTCGTAATATCTAAAATTTATCAATTTATTTTGCGTTGTGTAAAACTTTGAAAAATCGTAAATAAATATATATTTCTAATTTTACTTTCATTCTCTCTTGTATACACATGTAATTTTGTATGACTATAAAGAAATAAATATTATAAAACCACAGTGCATATATGACGTATTAATGTTATTTATTCGCAATAAAATTCCTGTATTTCTGTTGTAGATAATATACGCATATTTTCTGCAAAATGTGTTTCACGAGAGGAATTTATATATAGAGAACTATTTTTCTCCCATTTCGAATTCATATTTACTAATACGATAATAATATACATGATGGGTTTTATATGATTCATTTTTCAGGAAATAAGGACTAAGGCGATTTTGGTAGGGATTAGCAAATGTTCAATACTAATGTAAAAATTATAGACACATATTATTCATGTTTTCGTTTCAATAATTGTCTTGATAAAAAGTTTCGTTTCATTTCTACCCGATCGTTGTAATTATTTAATTAATTAGAGCGCTAGACTACTCCGCTTAGTCGAGTAATGCGAAACAGCTCGGAAAGACTGTTCTACAGGTACTAGAGTTATCTGGCTAACACACTTATGGTCGTAAGAACCCCTTAATTCTATAACTTACAGTCGAGAAAATTAAATACAAAGTGGATTTTAAGTACAGGTAAAAAAGAAAAAAAAAAAAGAAGAGAAAAACAAGAAACGCAGAAACGCGTCGAGAAGTATTGGCGTATATCTACATTAGTTTTGGCATAAATATTCCAAATACTGTGCGTTCACATTGGAAAAGTCCTTCTTGTTCGTTGAGAGACCTTTCGCGGCATCAGAGTACATACGCAAATTTTAATTATACCTATACTAGAATCGGTGGACTACGAGTAAAACGTCAATACGGATGTGTGATTCCCACGGACTAAGATCGTGGGCGGCATATCCTTCGTGAGTGACTCTAACCAGGCCATGTATAATGGCGCCGAGACCGCACTCTTCCTCGGCATTGGTAAGGACCTGAAATTGTTTTAAATAATGAAAGCGTCCTCGAAAATTATAACACGACGTTATGATACGATCGCGAGCTCCAACGTTCTTGTTCGCACGTACATTACTACTAAAGTAGACTGACTCGAGTTCTCCAGTAACAATTCACGCAGTCGTAATTGCCGATGGGTCTTATCCCGTAAAGTTTGCAGCTCGAGGTCGGTGACACAGCATTCTGAAAACGACCATCGTTATCACTGAATGTCGAATATGAACGTCAAGAGTATAAACCGGAAGAACAAGGAAATTACATACCTGAACACGTACTTGAATTGTCCGAAGAATTGTTCATCCGGAAGTCGGATATCAGTTTGTCGAAAAAGGACTGCGTTTCCTGTTGCGGCTCGACGCAGATGCCGTCTACCATCTTCAAGCTGCTGTATTTTATCCGAGCTTTGCGCATTATCTCAACCATCCTGCGAAATTCGAGCGAAAATTGATAACACTCGTCCGCGTGTCCGCGTACGATGTTATTCATTGAAGGCATTTACTTTCGACAAAGAGCGTTGAAATTCTCGTTTATACGCTCTGCTTTATACTTACTCTTTCTCCTGAGCATCAATGTTCTGCTTATGATTGGCTAAAGCGAATATTCTCATCTTGCAGTGTTCCCAACCAGATCGCGTGCTGATTATATACGGTAAGAGGATCGTCAGACCTGCCGAGTAATAAATTTTGCCGCATACAGATCAGCCAGAAATTTTCGTTAATTCCGAACACGAACGACTCGGCTCGGATACGTATATATTGACGTCCCGTTGATCGCTCAAGTATAATTTTGTCAATTACCTCCGTCATCGTACAACCACCATACGTCAATCGTCCCCTGCTTGTGCTTCTTTTGGAAGATTGTCATATTCTCCGGTATGGAGGCCATACCGTTGCTTTTATCGCTGAAATAATAGACAATTAATTAACAGCGGCAGACGAATTTGCGGGGCAGCTCCGGGCGATCACAGAATCGATATTCGTACACTCACAGCAGTCTGTCGAGAGCGAGCTTCTTCTTCTGCTTCAAATTACCCCGCGCGTTCCAGTGTATCGGTGAATCTCTCATCACATTTGTGACGTCGGTGGGTGTGACGAACGACGAACCTGAAACGATCAAATAACCATCGAAGATAATGAATGTCGAACATGTAAAATTGAAATTTCATGACTTCTTCGCACAACGCAGCGGATTTTTTCCTCTTCTTTTCTTTACCGAATGTTTAGACCGGCTCACCGCGAGAGGTGAGTGAACGGTCGCTTTGAACAACGATTTAATTCGGCATCGTCAAAAGTAGAAATAAAAAGCGTCCATCTCCATAAGTGGTACGATCTTCTTCAATTTCACTTCAATATATCGCGGCCATTTTACCTATCGTCGGTACGCTCTGCACTCTGGGGATCTGCGTGCTCATGGAGAGATCGCTGTCGGCGTGCATCAAGGTGTTGCCCGCCAAGTCGTAGCTGCTTTGAGCGAGATTTCCGTGTTCTTCGTCCCCGTTCGCACTGATCGCGCCGGAGAAGTCCAGTCCATCGGCGATCCTCAAAATAGCCACAGCCAGTTTGTGGTCAAAGGCATTGCTAAGGGGAAGAAATCATCGTGAGAGACCACGAAATGCCGCGCTCTCGCTACTGATTTATTTACAACCCAAGAGTAATCCCGAAGTGGACTATTCTTATACCTATACTGCGATAAGTGGAATCACATGGCTTTTCGCACTATAATAATAATAATCTGACTGATTTTTAGGTTTACGCAGAATAGAGAGGCTTGATTTGCTTTCCGGCTTGGTATCGCGTGAATTTCTTGCCGACATGCCGGTTCGCTTCTTCAGCGAGAAAAACAACCTGAAATTCTATACGTACAGTGATAGTAATAACGTTGACTTACTGGAGAACATTGAAGTATTCCTGCAGGTCCTTGTGATTGCACGTCGACCAGTGAGTCTTGTAGCCCATGAGAACCACATTGGGCGCTAATTTGCCAACCCCGCTGGCCTGCATCAGCGCGGCGACGCCTCGCTCCAGGCTCATATCCTCCACCATGTGGTAGAACGATTTGATGCGGTGTTGGTACAGCCACGTGTAACCGTTTCTCATACGTACGGAGCGTAGACGATACGACAGTCGCGTCTGAAATCATATCGGGACGTTAGTTTCGTGTGTTCTCGTTGGCTGGTGTGCGGAAATGACCGGTACGCAAGTGTGTCAGATCGAGTTTCCTGTTCTCGTACCGGGAAGACTTCGCCGGAGATCAGCAGCGAATTATTCTTCGTGATGAGGTTCGCCAGGTGTATCAGCGCCGGCCTCGAGCCAGGTAGGCCGGTGAGCGCGAGAATCTGCGGCGCGTAATTCTTCACGTGCTCGTCCATGCTGTTCAATCTGGAAGTTTTCGCAGACTTTAGAGCGCGTCGCTTCGGCGATAATTTCAGGCTGGGATATGTCAACACATCCCCCCCATCTGTGAGACTTAATCGACTGAAAAAGAACGCCGTTCAACACCGTACTTGTACACGACGGAGAGCGCCGTCTTGTAAGTTTGCGCTTGTGTGCTGCTGCCCCAATTGACGTCCGGTTTGCGGTAAACCACTATGAGGTACAACGCGAAGATGATGACGAAGGTGACGAGCGAGGTGACCCAGTCGATGAGGAACATAATCGCCACGCAGATGATGAACCCGAAGAGGGACAGCCAGGTGTTGTAGTACTGCAACAGTGACAAATCCACAAGATCGTTGTGTAAGCCTTGCCTATGTCGCGTCAGTCGTTCGGTTGACTCTTAGCACTCACCTTGAAGCTGGGTCGCCAGCCGAGCGATCGAATCAGCGCCGCGTGAAAAGTGCAGAAGTTGATTAAGGCGTACGACGCTAAGTAAAAGTTCGAGATCAGCGGCGCGACTGCGTTGAGATTGGCTGAAAGGAAAGCGATTCGAGAGTTTCGTCGGGGTTCGACAGTGGATCTTTACACGCTCAATGGGAGTTGAGTCTCTTGAAAACGACGAGGGAGAAACGCAGGCAGGATCTTACCGATCAAGAGGAAGAGACCGGCGACGCAGAAGGTGAGGATGTAGCCTCGGTAGGGCTCCCCGGACTTGCCGTATCCCTTGCTGAAGTAAATCAAGCCGGGATAAATTTTATCCTGACCCAGAACCTGAATGAGTCGCGGCACGGACAATAAATTCGTCAGCGCCGTCGACAGGGTAGCCGCGAAACATCCTGCGTAAATGAGCGGTCCCCAAAGAGACATCAATTGCATGACCTGCGAAAGACAAACGCGTGTGCGTGTGGAAAATCGGCACGGCATAGATCTTTGCCCTTGTTATTATTAAATCGAGAAGAGACGCGAGAATCGTCGCATCCCTCGGACAATTTACTGATAAGCAATAATTGCTGAACGGAGAAACAAGTCGCACAAGTTCGGCGGAATCAAGTAATCTCGCTCAGCATTTCAAGGTCTCGAGCATTGGAAAACAATTATATCTTCGTCTTTAAACGAAACGCTTCTTCAAATTGAGATCAGGAAAGAGACGCAAGATAACATACTTCGGGACTTCGTTGTATTCTCAAACATAGCTAAAAGCAATGTTCTTCAGGTTATTCTCACCGAATAACTGTTGTGCAGCCCGTACGTGCAGTTGACCCCGGCAGTGCAATTCATGATAGTGTTGTTCAGCAAGCCGCCCGCGTCTCTGGCAGCCGCGCCACCAGCGAAAAGGACGAACGTTACATAACTCAGCATGGAGATCAGCAAAGCGAGGAGAGTCCCGATCGGTATGCTGCTTCCTGGGTCCTTCAGGTCGCCGGATATATTAGCACCTGCCTGGATCCCGGTGACCGACGGGAAGAAGATGGAGAACACGGAGAAGAAGGTTTGATTGTTCTTCTCGGAGAAACGATAGTCCGACTGGAGATTACTCATAAACACTTCCGCTGCGGAAATTAATTATTCTCAGCCGTCAAGTCAACTTCCGTCGTAAGGGCAGCGCGTGAGAATTAGAAATTGCTGTTATTGGCTTATTATTATTATATATCCGTTATCGCGCCTTACTTCGCTGCGTCTAACTTCGCGCTTACCGGAGAATCCCTTGAAACCTTTCGCCTCCTGCTCCAGATTCTTCGGTCCCATGACAGTACCGATGAGAAAATCAAAGATGGCACCCACGATTACGGCGATGAGGAAGTTTTGCGCCTGGGGCGAGAGCACAAGTTATCAGATCGTTCGCGCAAAGCAGCGATTTAATCGGCGCGATTAAAACAGCACCAACGAGCATTCATTCGATTTATTTTGAATATTTCATCGCTTTTACTTCTTCTTTTCATGTATATGTAGTTTTCAAGATTTCAAGATTTAATCTTGAGAATCATGTTATTCGAGAGAAAAGGCAAATCAATCGGATATACCTTCGACTCCCACTCCATGCCGACTGCGCAGATAAGAATCATAACGACAAGCGCTATAATACCGACGATTCTAACGTCATTCACTCCATTATCTATGATCTTCAAGCCGTATGTCTTCAGCAGATCGTTCAGCGAATCGCAGAAGCCGATTGTGTTCATAGAAGCTGCTACCGCATTCGCGAATGCAAACACGATGCCAACCGATGCGCCAAACTCCGGCCCGAGAGATCGAGATATGATGAAATATATCCCACCTGCAAGTCAGTCTCCATTGTATACCCTAATTACTTCTTCATAATGGGAGTTGATAAAAAAAAAAACAAGAAAACATGGAACGTTTCTTCTTACTTCGTCATTAAAGCTTATTCTCTTGCAAATATCCTCTAACGAAACACAAGAATCGTTAAGTAATTTGAAGTGTCGACCGGGAATATAAGTTTCGACTAATCTCGACTTCACTCAACACTACGTAAATGACGTGAAATGAAATCGATCGGATGAAATTCCGCGAAAACAATAAGCCCGACATTGACTCGGCTATATAAGAGAGCGACCGGTCGTCTGCTCGCCAAGATCGATGGGGCGAGTAAACGCATCGCCGTCCGACATAGATCTCTTTCCGAGGAAAGTCTTTTTTCAGCTCGGCGGAGGAAAGAGAGAGAGAGAGAGAGAGAGAGAGAGAGAGAGAAAAGAAGGAAACCGCCAGCGTCGTATATCAGACGATAAAAGTCGAACGCGAGCGCTCCCGGTGCCGCGGCGCGGTGCCACTCCTTCGGAAAAAAAGAATTACAGAATGCGTTATACGGTGGTAACACACCTCCCTTTACTTCCCCATTAGTGCTAATTGCACTGAGGCTAAGCGTCGTAATGACGCAGACGACCGCCGATATTCCGATAATGACGATACTCTGCAGAATGCCGGCCTGCGCGACTACCCATGAGAGTCGCAGAAACAGCATAACGCCCCATATGTTGAGCAGACATGGTATGAGAACGCCTTGGATCCATCCTAATTTTATTCCGCTGTGGCCCTGCTGACCGCCTGCGGCGCTCCCGACCTGTCCGCTCTCGACATTGGTGTCCTGAAGTCACGATATTTGCGTACTTTAGACGCGCAATTCGTCGCGCGAGATTCTCGAAGCCGTCGTCGTCGTCGTCGTCGTCATCGTCGTACAGCGCGCGCGAACGTCGTATCGCAAATTGCATAATTTTCGTGGCGTTACGCCGTCGCGCGATACAATCGCGACGATGCTTAACCGATCGACGATGCTTAGGGGCGTTCGGGAAAACGCGAAATCAGCGTGCAAATTTCTCACGGACTCCGCGTGAGAGGAAGTCCGCGGATGATGATTTTTGGGCAATTTTCGTTGCAAGGACAGACGAGCGACATTCCGACATTCCGACTGACGGCGACTGAGACGTTGAAATTCAACAATGCGCCTAAGAAAGCCCGCTCTTCCACGCGATATCTCCTCTAATTTCACCGGGCGGATGTTTACTGCTGTGCAAACTTAATAAACTAGTTTCCCCTCGCTCGATGTGCTCATCAGTCGCACAGTTCGATCGCCCGCGAAGGAGACCGACAGAGAGAAGTCGCGCGCACACTGCTTGGCGGATTCCTTTTGTTATCTGACAGAATTTTACTTCTGTAATTGCGTTTCGCGTGTCATCTCGAAAGTCATCATCGCTTCGTCGCAACGGCTTTATCAACTGTCTAGGCCCGAAAGCGGTTGGAATTTAATCTCAGCATTTTTGCTAGCCTCGTTCTCTGATAAAGAAGCGGCTTCTTTTCCGCGTAACCGCTCGATTTCCGATCAGTCGGCCGATCACATCGACGCCCATTCGCGACCGGACAGATTTTCGTCTGCAAATTCTCGATCAATTCTCGCGTTCTTCTCCCGCCTTCTTTTCCGAAAGATCCACGACGCGGTTTTCGAGCGACGCGATTTAGCGGGGAGCCAGACGTCAGTGAAATTCTAAATGCGACCTTCGAGGCGACTGAAATCGATGAATATTCAAGCGCATTCAACCGATAAGCCGTATCGTTGTGGCGTATATTGTGGCAGAAAAATTAAAATGTCGCCGTACTCGAGTGCGACGTTATTTCCGTGTGCAACATATAAATCGTACATTCGTAAGCGCACCGATTCCTTTATTAAAACAACAATGAACAATACAAAGATAGCGGCGTGTACGAACGATGTAACGTCGTCGTCGACGAGATGCGTCGAGATCCGTAGATAGTAGTTCCGTGTAATCTGATAACTATATCGAGAGAGCGAGATATATGGCTTAGGTAAAAAGATTCTTTCGAGTAGCGAATATCATCCGTCGCGAAGCTTACCGAATAATCAGGTCATATTCATGAGTCCGTTACCGGACGAAATCGTCAGATTTCTTCCCACGACGCCGAGTCGTCACGACAAGCGGAAGCTTCTAAGCATATCGGTAGCGAGAACGGTAGCGAAAGAAATCTCGATTTCCCTTTGCGAATTTCCTTAATGCGAAATCGAAATGTCGCAAACGTAGAGAAATTTCCTCACCTTTATCAGATTTCCCTCGTGCAAAGTGTTTAACGATGGCCTCTTCACACGGCGGCTCACTCTGCAAAAAAGTTTCGACAAGTGACATATACGCAGGTATTGACTCCCCCCCCCCATTCTTCTCCATCCGTCGCCGAATTCACCGACAAATCGTTTCCAGATAAATGCGAAAAAGACATTAACGATCTTTTAATATGTAGGGCGTCAGATATCATAGCGAAAGCCGTGCGTCAATATGATACGCGATGAATCGCGCGCGATATATACGATATACACGTTAATACCGCCCGTATAATTAATTCGCAAATATATACCTATAATAATCCAAGCGTGGAACTACGTCCCACAGTCCGCTCACGTTTAACGTCATCGGGGATCGTTTGTTACTTTGCAACTGGCCGATCACGTCGTCTTCCGGCGTTCTGCCCTGGAAGCGACTCTCCATCTCGTCGTACCTGAAAAGTGCGCTCGATAAACAACACAACATCGCTCGTTTTCCGCTTGTCCTTGCTCATTATGCAAGTCGTTATCCTCTTGCACGAGCGCTTAAACAATAGCAGCTAATTAGCTGCTAGCTCTGCCGCGATAAGGATTATAACCATATACGACCGTATCGAGACACTAGCGACTAGTAGAAAACAAAAGACTAGTTGAAACACTAGCGACTAGTTGAAAACAAAAAACAAAAAACTTTAAATGTCGACAATCGACTCGAATCCGTAGCGATTTAACAGTGCGATATGACGATGCAATCACGTGACACCTGTGGCCAAAAGAATCCTCGTGATTTAAACCACTACAGACGCCTCGCGCGTGTCCGGTGCAGATGCGAAAGAAAGAAAGAAAAAAAAAAAGAGACCTTAGAAAGTTGGTAGAACGGCGGACGGTGCAATTTCCAGAAAGAGTCGTGCGACAACGATTCAATATTGACCCGAAGGTCTCGCGTGGAGTGATAATTGGAATTAAGGACATCATGGCTGTATATTGGAGTACTTCGCGGAAAATGCTAAAGGACGTGGTCGTCGCGCCAATGAGTCGGGCGTGTATTGGGGCGTCCGTGGAGGCGCGCGATTATTACACTTTAATTAAAAGCGCGCCATTCGCCGATCATGCTAAGGCGTAATTTGTCGCAACGCGCGTAATGCGCCAGACGAATTGCCGAGAACGCGTAACGAAACGCTGCGATAAAAGCCGACGGGACGTTCCTGTTGCGCTCGGTCTGCCGAAAGGATACTGACCGTCTTCCGCTTTATCTAGGGGCTTATATTAATGGTGCATGACTTTAACCCGCGACGCGTGCCGGAGATTCCCGTGCAATTATTTCGGTCATCTTCCCAGCCGATGAAAATCGGGAAGCACGCGAGACCGGAGATCTATTCGCAAGCGTACGCGATTTTCCGCGATGGTCGTTCGAGGAGGACGCGGCGAGGTCCAACGGCGTATGATTAATATTGATTCGCGCTCGTTGTTAAATTAACAGCGTTTCATCGCTCGAATTAGCCTGACCGGGTTGGCTCGTACGTCGCTCGTGTAAATGAATATGCGCTCGATAGCGCGAAAGCTGAACGGAAAATTTTGCGGACGCAGCGTGTTCATTCTCAGATCGGTCCGATGCGATTTTTCAGCGGAACGAAGAAACTTTGGGTCGCATAGATTTGTGTACTACGTAAGTTTATTGTGACGCTGTCTTATATGAGGAGAGACAAAGGCGGTACAAATGATACAAGAGATAATCTGAGCGAATGATATGAGATAAAGAGGAAAAAAAAAGAGGAGAAGGAAAATGAGAAGGAAAATGGGAAGAAAAACGAGAAATTATTAAAGAAGGAAAACCAGAAATGCGGTTAAACAATATTCTCGGAATGGAGAAAGGAAAATAAAATTATTGTATTGTTAATTTCGTGGCGCGCTCAAAGAGCTCCGCGATAATCACGGCCGGCGCGGGAACGAATTACGAACTCTGGTCAACCTGTCGGTGCAGCGACATGATCGATACTTTTTACGAGATCGAGTGCTGGTCGAGTAATTTAATAAGGTGAGGTTCCTAAGAGAATCCATCGAAGACGCATCTTTGGACGTTTGCCGATGTCACACACGTGTCTCCCGCCCCTACGTTTACGCGACGACGCGACGCGACGGAGTAATGTAATATGGGACGGAGAAAATACCATTTCTTGAGATTACTGATACCGTTCCCGAAATATCCGGCGCTTCATAATCGAGCTTCTCAAAATTCGATGACATACTTTGAGCGATGTCGATCCTTTGGAAAATCGACTTGCATTAATCGCCGAGCATTATATGCACATAAATTTCAAAGCTAACCCACACATATTTCATACAAGCTCGAGTCCTTCTCTGCGGTAAACGTTTCACGTTATTTGCAAGATCCGCGATCGTCGATGCGAAGTACTTGGAAAGGAGGGGAAGAAAAATACGAAAGGCACGCAGGGAAGGAAAAATGAGGGAAATATGGAGAATGCGAGAATATGGACTCTGCGAGGAAGCGGGACAAAAGGGCGACTCCTTCGCACTTTGCGAGACATTCGCTCCGGGGAGATTCTCCACGCGACTCGACGTACATCGGCGCGCACGAGCACCCGTCGGCGCATAATCGCGGGTCAACGAAATGGAAAACACGGTCAACGTGCACCATAGCGTCGAAATCGATGATGAACGCCCGCGGCTGTGCACGATTCATTTGCATCGATTTACCGCTTACGTCCCGTAAGCTCCCGGCTCGCGCACAAACGTACGTCGGGTCGAATAAATTAGCGAGACGGATTTTGGCGCCTTTTCCGGCGAGGCGCCTTCACTTTGCTATTTACGATCTCGTTGATCCTCTTGGATAGCCGACGACACGCACGTTCCGCAGACGGTCGTTCCACTTATCAGACTCACCGACGAACAAGACGTTTGCTTATCGACTTATCTGCCTTGCGCAACCAGCTGACATCCGATAATCAATTAAAATAATACGCTAATCTTGCATCTTGATGATTAAATCAGTTTACTCCGAGGTGCGAGTCGATCGCGATAACGTGTGTGTGTGTGTGTGTTTACAATTACGAATTTGCGTCTCATCGACCCAACGCGCTCTTTTTGCAGATTCGACTGGTGAAATTGACACTTTCTCAGGAAACCCTCTATTTTCCGAATATTGAACGAGACGCTCGGAAATGAGATTGATTAATTGCTCAGTAATTGAGATACACGTCGTTTGTACGCTTATGTGCGACGTAATTGCTTGCGATAATACGGGCGAAATCGGTATTATTTTTCTTCAGAGAGAAGTGCCCATTGAAACATGATCGATTGACGAAATGTGATCTACGGTTCAAAAGTGAAGAGCCATCGAGGGGATACGTTTCAAGCGACACGAAGACCGCTTTTCCACTATCGGCTGCAATCTATAGTTTACATTGAAAGTACTCGAGCGTAGGTTCGGTGCATTAAATTACGCGACGACATTTGCAAGTAAAAAAGTAAACCCGTAAAATGCAAGCGCACTTGGAAGTATCGACTCGAAAGTACGACGGACGTTTACTTCACTTTTCGCAGAGCAAGCGCAAATGGAAAAGTAGAAGGTGCGTTCACGTTCGAGACGGTGATATAGAGGTCAGGCGGTCAGGTCAGCTGATAAAAATTCAATTTCTTACATCGAGGATAAATCACTCTGACTTACATCCTGCGTATCGAGTGCGTAGGCGAAACCCGGTGCAATTAAGTAAACAGGCTGTGCACGAAACTCACGTACATCGACGAGCGGATGACGCGCGGATCACTCGAAAATTACCAACAGCACACGTATCGCGTTTCAGTGGAACAAAGCCGAAATGACAGTCACAGTAGAATCTCAATCGAAGCTCAAAGTCGTGTTCTCTTCAACGATTGCAGTCTCGGAAGAGGAGCGTGTCCAGCGCGATCTCACGAAATTTAGCGCGCGCGCGACGTCGGGAGTATCGCAGCGCACGAAAAGCGCATCGAACTAGCCGGCAGTGCGCAAAGCAACGAAGTTAAACAGTGACTATCAGCTGTGCACGCGCGAGCTTGCGAAAGTGGAGCGAAACCGGCGACGCGAATTTTCGAATGAATCGAGCCGAGTGATCGGCATCGAGGCGCCTGCGGCTCACATGGATTCACTCGTCCGTCCGCGTTTCACGAATGCCGCTGCGAATAATCCGAGCGACCGCGGAGAGCCCGGGATTTCCCGCGCTGGAAAAAGCGTATCAATCTGGACTCACGGCGCGCGGGGTCCGCTTGAAAGATCATACGAGTGGAAGTTCGACGGGCCGCGCGCGCGCGCGCGATCTCGGCCGGTGCCGTTGAGGCGAACGATGAGACAATCTAACACGACGAGGCACTGAGCGTCGCGAAAACTTGAACCTCGTGTGGTTCAAGACCCCCCCGAGTGCAGGCATTAAGGAAGGAAGCATGCGTCGAATTTCCCTTTCCACGAGCGCTCACACGCGCCCACACGCCCGCTCGTACGTACGAACACACGTGCGCCGCGCGTACCTGCGCGGATCGCGCACGACAGCCATTTTTGTCCATTATATTCCCGGACACGTGCGAAAAATATTTCGACGCGTGCACGATACGCGTGTCGTGTGTTTCCCCTCGCAGGTTTTTTCGTCGCCCGCTGATAAATATATAGTCGTGTGTGTGTGTGTGTGTGTGTGTGTGGTGTGTGTGTACGCACATCGACAGGGATGCTCGCAAAGGCGCGGCGTCGTCTAACGCCCGTCTGCCGCGGCAAATACGTATTATTTATTTATTTATTTATTCTTCTCGGGAACACTGCCCTGCGAATTTCAATGTCCGTCTTGTAGAACTTGCGAGTCAGCCTTGCAGAGATTTTCGGACTTGGATATATCGGGTGATGCCTCATCAAAGGGTGAATATTCGCGAAGCTGAGAAAGGCGCGCTGTCGAGCTTTCGCGTGGGCGGCTGCTGCGTGAGTGTTTCGTAAACTTCGACCCTCGGCGTGTTTTGGTTGGGAATGAGGGAAAAGGAAGAAAGAGGAAGGGAAGAAAAGAGGAAAGAGAGAGACAGAGCCGAGTGATTTTCGAACAGCGCGCTTCGCGGAACAGCACGCCGCGGACAGAAATGCGGAGCAGCCGCGATGAGAAGAGAGAAGGCGCGAAGGTCGTGCCGCGGTGATTCCCTCGCGTTCTGAAATCCTTTGACGCCTCTTCACGCTGCACGCTAGCGCGGAGAGAAGCACTCTGTGCGCGCGCAAAAAAGCGCGGCCAGAGGAGACTCGCTCGAACAATGCCGCTTGAAGTCGAAATTTCGTGGTAACACGCAGAAGCCGTGTGGAGAGCCGAGACATCAAACGCGTGCGATATCGAGAGAAATCATATCGGTTTGTATAAATTGCGCGAGATGATCTAAAAAAAGAAGGTGAGGAAAATGATCTAAAAGAAAACAGGAAAAGATAGCGACTGGGTTCTATTCCTGACGCGTAAATCCGCAAAGGAAAAAAGCACCACGTGCGTTAAAGGATAAATACGAGTTGCTACGAGTTGCGTCGTAAAGTTTCCACACGGGACAAGTTGTGCAATAAAAAGTAGAAGAATATCGATGTATCTTAAACTAAAAAGAAATAAAAGGTACAAGTGTGAACAGGAAGAATCGAATGAAAAACGTACCTTGATAGATCGCGCGTGAAACTGATTCAAAAATCACACAGCCGAGAGCGAGCTGCAGTATCGGCAAATCACCCAATTTTTAAATTTATCCAATATTCCCAATTTATATATATATATATATATATATTATGCGCAAAGTTTTTTAGCGTAATTAAGAGAGGCAGGAATCCAACGGATCTCGCCTTTGTTTCGGATATGCGCGCACTAATTCACTGGTGCTTTGTCTCCCTCTTGCGGGGACGCCTTCGCGACGAAGATGTGAGACGAGACGATCTAGCGGATTATATCATCATTATCGCGAGGATGGCTTCGCGAACGTGTCCTGCGAGCGACTACCACCTTTTTCAGTGGTGCCGTCATTATATAGACGGCGAGGAACTGTCAATGCGGCCGATGACGTTGGCTTTGCAAGATACACGCCTACGCTATCAAGGCGCCCTTGCGGAGATACGTTATCGTGCGAACTACCGCTTGAAAATTTGTCGTCGGGAGAAGGCAGATCGCGCCCGCGGATCGCGGATTATCCTTAATATTTATCCTTATTAAGCGCTGCTGGCCACCATGACGCACGATTCGTACGAATCCTTCGCGACGTCTCTGTTCTTCTGCGACGCGAGGCGAAGATCGATTCGCAGCAACACTTCGCTCGCCATTAAATTGTCGAGTTGCGAGCGAGAACTCCCTGGAGGAGGAGGGACGCGCGGACATTTTCCTCCGGGTAGACGTTCGGTAGCATGAAATATTTATTTTCGACTGTCTCTCATCGAGATAGTCTTCCTTATTGATATGGCTGCCTGTCGCCTTCGCCATGAACGACGTGAAAATACGACGCGCGATATTTCAGACGCTGCACAATGTCGGCGGCTGCGCTCGCAGCCGGCAGTCGCACTGATTCGAGTTGCAAATATCGCTGTTATACGTGTAAGTCGTCATACGTTATACGGAGGAACTAACGAGAAGGAATTTATCGGCGATTATCTCGGTATTCTCTTATCGCTCACGATTAGTACACATTTTTGTTTCTGCCCGATCGAGTGTTTGGTCGGTTAAATAATGACAAGTGTTTAAGTCAACAGTCGCCTCGTTTGCTCGCGCGCCGTGTCGCGATTACTTTCGATACGTCTTGCGTATTTTCATACCTCGTTTGCTCAACGTATCGCCGAGCAGAAGCAGGAGCAGGAGGAGGAGGAGGAGGAGGAGGAGGCTATGATTTACGAATTTACGCCCGCATCCGAGCGGAAATGTCGCATTGTGTGTACTCGCGTTCCGCCGCGCGCGGGATGCCGCGCACAATGGACTTGTTCTTCTTAACTCGAGCTAACGCGCGCGTGCGGATTTTTCTTCTCCCTTCTGTCTTGCGAGCACAGATATACATATGCATTTTGTTTCGCGAACAGGGAAGCACGCCGAGCGCGCGCTTCGACGCGAGAGAACGGACGTGACGCGTTCGAGCAGCGCCTCGGTGTTCCTCTTTTTTTTATTCCCGCACTCGTCTTTGTCGTTTTTACACGTCGAATCGTCGCAGCATTTCACCTCGCCTCTGTGCGTCTGTGCCGATAGAAAAAAAAATCCACCTGCGAGACGCGTTTCGATCGTGTCAGCCTGGCCGACGACATCGCATTACGCTAACGATGCTTTACTGCCGGGCGTGTGCAGCCGATAATCAAACCCACGGCCGTGCGACCACGAGATCGCGCAAACGATGGGCACATTTTTTTCTCCTCTTTTTAACGTCCTCTCAACGAGCTTAGCGTGTGCGCGCACCGCGCGAGAGTTGTGCTGATTTATCTTAATAGAGACAAGCGAGCTCTTGGCCGATACGCGCCTTCGCGCGTTGCGCCGTTTGACGTCACGTGGCGCGAGGCAGCGAAACACGTGAAATTCCGTGAGCGACTGGCCGCTGGCTGATGCAATTAAGCCGCCGAAAGTCCATTGTTGCTCGCGCCTCGGCTATTTGTCTATTTGCCGGTCGGCGCGTTTGCTCTCTTTTCTGCGTAAACAGACTGGCGGACTGACGGCAGACGCGTGATGAGACACACTGCCGGAAGGAGACGTCGGGCATGGCATAAATCCGTCATGCGAAACAATGTCGACGCGTCGCACGATCCTTGGACGAGCTTGTGTCATCGGGCCTGCAAGCTTATGTAAAGCGAAGCTTCATCGCGACGCGACACAATTCTCTGCGGATCGGAAGCTACGCTAATTCGGCGTACGACGAAACTCCGCTGTGCGATAAAAGTTACGACAACTCGATGCACAATAAGAGCCTTCGCGCGCGCTTCCCGTCGAATTACACGCAAATGATTCTGCGGGTAATCCAACTCGCGGGATGACACGCGGGCGCAATTCTCGCGACTCTCCTCAGGCGAGGAAGGATCAGGACCTGTCGATAATAATTCGACTCGAGTTCTCCGCCCTGGCGGATCTGCCGGCGGCTCTTCCCCGCTGTGCGGGGGAGATTGCGGCGCGAAATGTCGCGGAGAGAAATCGCGGCTGAAATCTGTATCCGATAAAGGGGGGACATTATCCGCCGTGTGCGGGAACACGTTGTTTCTGTTCAAAAAGCGCGGGGGTTGAGAGCTCCCGCGGCCGCGAAAATTCTCTCTCGCCAACGAGGCCCACAGCGGGGTTTTAGATTTGCAAGCGGAGGTTGCAGGAGGAGAGACGAGGCTGATTTTCAGAGCGACGACAGGTGAGCCCGACGGAGCGTTGGATTTCCATATTCGTGTGGAGCGCGTAATTACATCGCGGCACATTTCGAAACGCGCGTCGACTGTGTACCGTTCGGTTATCGAGTCGGCTGTAGATTCGTCATCGACATTGTCGTCGTGAGACACGACGGCGTAGTGGGACGCGTGTCCAAATACTTTACCGGATCAAACTGCCGGCGAACACGTTGCCCGCCAGGCAGAGGCACGTCGATTGCGAGGATACTCGCTAAATCCCCCTTTGTGCGTCGCCTCGACACTGATCTTAATCCTGTTTACATTCCCGATAGCGATCTCTCGAGCGAGAAACGACGGGATCCCGATCCAATCGTCGTATGATTTTTAATACTGAGTAATTGCACGCAAGTGACATCGACAATCGTCGCGCGCGCGCTCGCGAGTGTGTGTAACTTCCGCGTATCGTGAGAGCGTCGGATATTGTTCAGATTGTGCCGTATTGTTTTTCGCTGGCACGCTGGAAGTACACCGCGTAGCATGAATAATTGTCCAACGGGCTAATTGAGATTGATGAAGCTCATTGGAAGGAAAGGAGAATAATGCAATTAATTGGGCGTTGTGAGCGCGACGGCGTTGCGGACGTCGAAGAGATGAGACAATTGCGACAAAACAGCACTCGTCGTTAAATACGAATAAGAGAGAAAAAAATATTTGGAGCTGTAAGAAATATAAAAGATGCCTTCGTTGCAACTTGACGTTGTTAAAATTGCGACGTCTCGGCGGGGGTGAAACGGATCGAAGGGTCGCGAGTATCTGCGAGGAAATCCTTTCTCTCGCACAGTTCGCGGCTCGCAAATGTTTCATTAATATTCATCGCGCAACTGTCAAAGAAAACGTCGGTGCGTCTCAAGTTGGAAGTGACATCTGAGTCTTTCGAAGATTACGCGCAATTATTTGCTCACACATTGTAACGAACTGCCGATGCGCACGTGGAGCGCGATGCCGGCCCGAAATTGTTATACGTTGTTAACGAGCCGC